ATGATCTGCGAGTGGAGGAACAAGAGTATTATATGGGAAAAAGGTGAGAAAGTACGTTCATTTGGCATGGAGACTCCCATCCAAATCACTTTTTCATCTTTGCACATCCAATGCTCGGGTGAAGAGCAATAGGGTGCAATTAATTCTTCACACCTGCAAACGAGTGCATCAGTATAATTTTGTGTTGAATTAATATCATCAATTGAGGTGTTGCGGTGTGGCTTGTAAAAATATGAGTGCATCTCACGCAATATTTGCTGGAGTGCAGCATAAATAATGCTTCTCACCAAGTGACAAATCAATTAATCTGTGTGTAGAGTGGAATTAGAATCCATTTTATGAATTAATCGATACAAATTAATTATTGCGAGTGGCGCTCTTACTCTCACTCCTTGCAACTGGCCCAAGACGTGCCTTCGCCCTCCAGTCGCGACCTGGAGCAAAGGCATGTTGTGCATGAGGAAGACAAGGAGGTGGATTTTCAACACGCGACGACATATCATTCGTCATTGCAAAGGGAGAAGAGATGTTCCTGTTCGAGATGAGATATATTAATATGCAACTTGGTTGCGGCAATTCATCTTTTAAATAATCTCCCCTTGATTAACTGTGCATTTTGAGAATGCAGCAAACATTGCCATCGCGGACGCCAAAACATGCCACGACAATTAACCCATTGTGACATTTTACCAGAGTTGATTGTATGTGAATTTGAATGTTTGTCGCGAATCCTCAAGACAAGCAGGGTTTAGAGCATTTTTCAGCGCTGGTATTTTGCTAAAATGCTCCATTTTTTAGGAAAAAAAATACAGAGTTAAAGCCATAACTTGAATTTTGGCAATGTAAGGGTTAAAATAGGGTTGTTTTTCGTGAAAGATTTGACATATTTCTCCACACAAACTCTCAATTATTAACGAATTTAGCATAATTTCATCGCTTGTTGGCGCAACGACGATTTTCCGGCGACGCGTGTGTGATTGCGATGAGTTAAAAGCGCGGGAAAGTGCGCAAGGGAGGAAAAGAATTCGCGACGATATATGGTGTTCATCTTCACGTGGTCTGGGCAGCGCTTCTCCCACAATGTGCAGCTCTTTTGGTGTGGAACAGTGCTTGCACACATCAATATAACTTAATTGTCTGACCTTTCCCATCGCACATCATATATACTAAGCTGAATAGTTGTTGGCCATTCGAGGCAGAGGCTAGCTTCGGATGGGGTCAGGAGATCGACTCCGTATCGCCCACACTCATTCTCTCCCTGAAAATCTAATTAGACCCACATAGTGCTCATCGGAGCATCATCATATCTAATGGGCGAGAGAGACTCCTTGCGTGTGACTCTGTCTCTCCCGCCGCCCCGCCGCATTTCCGCCCAGGCGGTGAGATTTCACGATAGGCCCAACCTCCGTGAAAGCCATCTAATCAGTGACAATTATTAGAGACTCTGGCCCCAATTCTTTTCCCAACGCTGCGCGGCGCACGGGAAAATTGTACAATTGCACCTTTGCGCAGATCGCATTTGATTCTGTGCCTGTTTCGCTTTCAATATCGCACTGAGAGATCGAAGATCATCGAAAAATCATCGGTGATCTCGCGCAGTCACACTCGAATTTCATGGTGTGTGAGATGTCTGGCGAGAATCTCTCACAATTGTCCGATCCATGGACAGATTGAAGGCTCGCGATCGTGGAAAAGGCGTTCCACAGCCACATGCCTCGCATATTTTTGGATGCGAGGCACTTTTTTTTTGCTCTTCCCATAGATCACCGAAGAGGTGATGGCTGGGCTGGAGGATGATGAAAAAGAACATGGAGTGCGAACAATTTGTTTATTGACGTGATTTATATATTGATGATTTTGACAAAATTATTAATGATGCGCTCCCCATGGTGAGAATCGGTTCAATCGCGCACACAATCATTCCAGTACTCACATTTCCCCCTTTTCCATGTTCCTCGCTGATGCTCTGCCCTCCTTTGCTGCCCTCTTCCGTCCCATAATGTGCTTGGGAGCATTCCTAAGGGAAGATTTGAGGAGTGAGAAAATTACATAGATGAGAAATTGCTCAAGCACACATCTCTCTTTGCCTCCTTAATTCACATGTATGTATGTATATGACTTGGCTGCACGATCAGCGCGATGTTTAGTCACTTAAAGAGGGCTTTTTTGCTTGGGCGCGAAGATCGATCGGGCGAGGAAGCTGTGGCGCGCAGAATCGAATGGCGATGGAATGAGATCAGACGCAGCATTTATTTGCTTTTCATTAAGGCACCACAAGCAAAACGACGTGTGGCACAAAGAGACGTAACAGCTTCAACCATTAATTGTGGTGTTCCTCAGCCTCTTGTAAAGCTTTTTTCTCCCTCTCCCATCGAAACTTATGCTCAAGATTCGTGTTATCTCTCGCTGGCGACTCAACACTGTATTAACACCCAGTGCCATCGCACCATGTGTCTTTTCCCCCTGGGAAAAGAAGCAGTAAAAAGCCATCGAGTGTGTGTGTACAAGAAGATGCTTCGGCTCCAGATTCCTATCGCCACTGGTGAGTTATGAGCTTAACACCATACTGCTGTGCTGTTGCATTTTCGCTGGTCAGCGGAAAGTGTCCTCCGGAATCCACCTCTTCGCGCTTCAATTTTCACGGCCATTTTCCACCAAATTCACACCTGATCCACACCCAGCACGGCCAGCACGGCCAGCAATCAATTAAACACCAAGCAACATCGCAAAGTAGCATCGCTGATGGATTTTTTCCTCCCGATTCAACCATGTCAATCGTGTTTTCCCCCGTTTTGGCCATTCAATTGCACAACGCGCACCGTCAGCTATTGGCAAAATAGACGATGGAAGCGCGCATCTTGAGCAGCGCGCAATGTTTACTCAGCGAGAGCTTCTATGCCAACGGTGGCAATTAGAGAGTGCGTGGAGCAGGAGGTGGATCGACAATCTCTCAAAATCACTAATTATCCCCTCGAGTGATGTGCACCACTGCGATCAGGCAGTGTGATCTCCATGATCGTCCAATCATTGCCTATGATTGTCTTGGACATCAGCTGTGCTCTCGGCCATGGTTTTTCTGTGCCAAATGATCACTCGAGGCGCCTCCCACGAGTGTTTACCACTGGCGATAACAGGAGTAGGTGAGTGGCTATGTGTAAATGTAGAGATCACAAGTTGATGCTGATTTGGACTGAATATATATGCAAATATCCCAACAAAATGTTTACGATTTACAGAAGGTTATCGCCACATCGGTGTAGATTTCGTGCAATGGACGCTAAATCACAGTTTTATTATGCACGATGAATAGAAATTGATATCCGACTAACAAAGGCAGAGATTGCTCTGCAATATTAGGAAAATTCCGACTGATTTGGACAAATGAAAGATACGCTTTGGCAAGCTCTTCTCCCTCCGTTTAGAGCCTCATTATTGAACTCCGTTCTCTTCTGCTATATTAAATTCCACTGTGTAAATCTAATTTCCTATACCAATCAGCAAAACATTCAGCCAGCGGGAATGCCACTGTCATGGCGGCCTTCTCCTTCTGACGAGATTCTCGCTGTTAGCTTTATTTGACGGCAGAGGCAGCACTGAGGGTGACGCGGAGAAACTCGCGAATCAATCAGTCGTATCGTGATCTCAGAGCGAAACAGGATACGCAGCGAGATGGGGCGGCAGAGGGAGTTGGCTACATAAATGTCAACCTTCCCCTATGATATCAGAACTCCACGGTTTGTTTTGCCATCTCGAGCAGAACTCAAATGCTGCGCGTTGATCTGCGATACAGGTGAGATAATGAGAGATATTCTCAAAAGATAAATTCAATCTTCAATCTGATGAAGCAGCAACTCGCTCGAGCCACCCAGTTTGGTTTAATTTAATTTGAATCGACAACAGACATAAACAGTCACATTGATTATGGAGTGAGTCACATAAATTGCCCAATAATTGTCCAGAACAGAATGAAAGCTATATGATGTCGAAAAAACGAGAAGAGGAGCAGCAACGGCTGCGAGACATGAGTTCCCGACTGTGAATTATCAAATCCAATTATCGTGGCGCTGGTGTGTGTATCTTTAGCAGCTAATTAACATAGATCGTCAGAAAAATTGTACCATCGCGATCGGAACGAGAAAAATTCCCCAAAATGGAGATGACATAAATTAGTGGGAGAAATATAATATTCCGATGATCATTGGACAATAATTTACCTGTTCATAAAATATTCCTCCATCATCCTGGAGTAGAAGATAAATAATGCCAGCACGAGGTGGAATTCCAATGCTATGTTGAGACACTTTTCCATTGGGACACTCTGTTGAGGAAGGGAGGCAAAAAGGAGATCAAATTCTCCGGGTGCCTCAACCAAAAAATACTATACGGATTGAGATTGTTATCGATCTCTCCACCGCGAGTGATTTAAATTGTGGATCGGGTGAGGAGCTGTGAGATTTATGGGCAGATGGTGGAGATTCCATGGGTAGGAAATATTGGTGGAGAAAAGAGTTCATTTTCGGGGCACGAGAAAAATGCTCTCGAAGACAGAAAAATCCACCACCAAGTGAGAAGGACCAGTTCTGTGTCTCAAATTCCCGCATGAGACACACACGGCCGGAGCACAATATTAAATTAAGAGGGCCTGTGCTTCAGGTGGAAAAAAAGACGAGGTAAGCAGCGAAACAACACACATCTTGTGCGGTCGGACAATAATACAACTGAAAATTGGAATCTTTACAACCAAGTCAAACGATCAATTGATTAGTTTTATTCATCTAATTATTCACCTCGTTTTTTTTCCTCTCTGTCTTGGCTCACAAACGGCAGTTTCACCTCATGTTGATACACTCTTTCGATTGGAATCAGGTGGTGATCAGGTTTCTCTCGTTGGACACAAAATATCGTGGTCATAATTTTTCCTTGTTGCTCTTTTCGGGAAATTGGAATAACAAGTCATTGGGGGTTATTTTGGGGATCGTTTTTAATCTCACTCTCCTCAATATATTATTTATTCCATATGTTATACATGTATTTCAAGCAATTCTCGTAAATTGTATCCTGCTATGGCACTTCTTACATTTTCTATAGATTGTATTTCTTCGGCGTAGCTGATTTAACACTTTTTTTCACTGCTGATTGATTAAAGATTCTGCGGTCTGAGAGAGTTGTCCAGTGGCATTAGCTTGAGGTCATCATCATTGTTTCGGGTCAAGGATTCAGTAGTCAGCATCCGGCATGCAGTGAGGTCCTTTCACCGCAATGTCCTTGTGCTTGATCTTGAAGTCCAGCAGTGCCATGTTGTCGCGCTTCGCGAACTCTTCTATGCTTGGAGCCATGAGAACGCGATCGAAGGGGAATCCCATGGCTCTCTTGTCCGGATACTTGCGATCCTTGATGCCACAGAAGACGGCGTTGTCATTGCAGGCGACATTAATGTCATCGTTGGTCTTGTCCAGCTCGTACGGCGTCAGCATGACGAAGAGATTGCAGGGAAAACCATCGGCAGTGCCAATTGGCAGGAGATGATAGTGAGGCAGACCACAAGCGCAAATGGAGGCTTGCATAGAGCGCAGCGTTTCGGCATCTTGCTTCCAAGCAGTGGAGAAAGTCCTGTCAAATGGCACAGTGACATTTGAGTCCTTGGAGCTGCGGAAGAACTTCGTTTCACCGGGAGGAACTGAAAAGACAAAGCCAGATTAACGATATCACTTGGTGCGAACACGAAAGGACTTACAAGTCGCTGTTGTCCTGTCCATTTCTATGGCATTCCTGCGGAACATGTCCATTTCGAAGTTTGTTCCGTTCTCATTCCTCACGGGAAACATGAAGATTCTCACGGTGCACTTTATGGGTTTATCCGTGGAATTCGTCACGTTGATTTTGTAGACGAATTCTTCGTGGTTGATGTGACAGAAGCGAATGTACACAGGCTCGCTGCCGTCGCCATTGAAATCCAATCCTAGCGACATGTTGACGTCATCCCACTGCCAGAAGGTGCAGAGCTCCTTTGTGTACTTCTGGTTGACGATCAAGTTGACCTTGTCCACTTTGATGCCCGGACAAGCGAGCTGCTCGTCAGTGTAGGGCGCCAGCGTGTACTTGTACTCAGATAAGAGGTTGTCGATGAACTTGTGCCAGCGATAGAAGACGGGATCGCGCATAGCAGTCGATGTGTCCGCCATGACGCCCGGTTGCTCGAGATACTTGACTGTCGTCGTGTCTGCGGCCAGGGCGAAGAACATGTGTCCCGTGTTGTGCAGACTGCTGTAGTATCCCATGTTCGGGGAAAGCATGCAAGACTCCACCATGTTTCCCAGATCATCGATGCCCTTTGCCTCCGTCAGAGGGTGCTTTTCTCCGTTGCGGCCAATGGCGTAGCCCAAGTTGATGGCGGTCTTGATTCTCTCCACGACTGTAATCATGTCCTGGCAAGTGACAGCCGGACTCGTAACACCGTTGATGGTCTTCCACTTGAAGCCCCTCTGGCGGCCGATGATCATTCTGGATGAGTTGTGGTTGTCCAGCTTGGGATAGTAAGCTGGCGCCACGTCGTCCAGGAAGTTCTCATACGGCTCCACACGATGCAGTCCAACGCAGATCCTCGAGCAGTTGTAGCGATTGATCATCTGGTTGTGCATGAAGTAGAAGAGCTCTCCGCGACGGTCCTTGTTCACAATCTCCATGGGCCCCATGAAGGGGTAGGCCAAGTGCCAGTGCCAGTGATGAAGATTGATGCCAGGATCCTCGCGGAAGAATGCCATCTGGTGCTCGGGATCCAGGTCAGTTGCTGTCCAGTTGCGCGGAATCACAATCGGCTTCCGCAGATCCGTCGGCACAACGTAGCAGAGCTCCTTGGCCTCCGCCATGGTGGATTTCGGCAGGAACTTCGTGGGGAAGGCCAAGAGACAGTCGGGCAGCAGGATGTCCTTGGTGTCCTCGCGATGTGTCATGGCGACAGAGAAGGTGTACACGAATAGATACGGATTCACCCTCTCGCGCGCGTACACCGCACACGCCAGCAGATCCTCAGCTTTCTCGATCTTGAAGAACAGCTCAATGAGCTTCCCGGCAATTGCGTTGTGCGGTCCGTGGAAGATATTGAAGGCATCCTCGCGCTTGATGACGAGAGCAAAATCCAAGTCCGGCCACTTGATCTCCTTCACATTCACTCGCTCCTTGTCTCCCGGTGTCTCACTGAATCTCGACTCGAGATCCTGTCCGAAGCCCTTGTACTTGTCCAGCATCGCCGATTGCGGGATTTCGTAGATGGTGTGGTTCTTGGGCGCAAAAGTCGGCTCATTTGGGCGATAGAGCAAATTGCAGAGCGCCTTCTTCTGTACATCTTGAGCTCCAGGCATGATTGAGACCTGTTCACAAATCACACTCACGAGACTGAGTGATGATGAGAAATCTGACGCGATCTTTATACTCTCGCGAGAGCAGCGGCCAGGAAATCTCTTATCAGCCGCGAGACCACAAATGAGAAAAGAGCAACAATTATTCAGATTGAGGTATTGAAATATTGTGAAAAGTTGCCAAGTAAAAATTTCAATAATTGTTGGACGAAAAAAAACTTCCATTTGACGATCAAACTTGCCTGAATAAGGGCGTTATTGTTCGTTAAGGATAAAGGAAAATTTCTGAACTGTTCCAATGTTTTGGCATAAAACATAATCACTTGCAAATGAGATATAAACACATACCTGTAATTGCTTCAAGGGGAGTTTTCCGTTGTCTTGAGGAATGACACGAAAAGATAGGTTATAATTATCCGCATGATTTATTTTTGATCTTCTGCCGGACTTTGCATGCGCGCGTGTGGAAATATTTCACAGAACAGTGGAAATATTTCATATGGCGCGTTATCTCAATCATTTGGCGAGTCAATGATCGCGTCTCCTTTGCATGTGATATCTTCACTGATTTGTGGTTTCTGTGGGAGCTTCAATGTTGCAATTGCACAAATATTTAATATGTAATACATGGCAGGGAGGCCAGAAGGAAATTAATATTTATTCATCAGCATCGGGGAAGATGAATAATATTCAAATTTTTGTATACGCGCGGTGAGAGAGATATGCATGTTATCCCGTGAGATGCGCTCTTTTCTTCATGAATCAAAAGAAAACGGGGGGAACATCAATAAAATGCTAAAAAGATGGAAAAGATTTCTCGTTTGGTGAGATGCCAGTTGATCTTTCATGCTTAGGACGCGAGCTGCAGAATCTTGCACACAAAATGTTTGATTTATGATATCTGCCTCGTCACATAAATCTCTCGAGGCGCGGAGATGAGTGTCGAAGTACATAAATTGATATATTTTCCAGCTGAGGATCCTCGTGTGTGCTTTCGCGGGATTTTTTCCCCGGCCAAGGATGCGCGCAATACACAACTTGTTCCTTCTTTTTTCCTATAATTGAGGGATTCTTTTGTGCGCATTTACTCTGGGCGAATTGAAAGCACGGCGAAACATATAATTCATCCTCATTTTATAATAAATTGCTCTCAATTGATCACGACAAAAACACCGTGAAGGATTCTCTCTCACAAGGTGTATTTCTCTGGCCACAATGCCGACCGAGAGTCCATTCTGAGCCCACATTGCTGGGTTCACCGTTAAAGACGTTTAGTCTCTTAGCGTCACTTCTTCTCATGCATTTTTCACGATTATTTTCCCGCCAAATTCCTACCTTCTCGCTCCGTTTGGAATATTTCACATCTGCGAGCTCTATTGCCGTGTCTCTTGGATGCTGTGGGAATTTTTTAACATCGCGAATTGGTCCATGCGGAGCGTCTTTTTCCGAAAATCACGAAGAAACAGAGAGAAAATCGTGGTCTGCTCACAGTAAATTTATACAATTTTATTTGCGCCTTTTCATGCATATATTCTTCAACTACAAAAAAGTACACAGTTTTTTTCGCACATTTAATGTCTCCTTTTGCCCAAAACAGCCCAAGAAGATGTTCTCTCTCTCTCTTGTCCACTAAACACTCTAATAAGATTATTTCGTATAATTGCTTGCTTCTTGTACTGGCCATGAATGTCCTTTTTACCTATTCTGCGTGATTTCCTTGTCTTTTCTACCACCAAATTGGACATTCTGTGGTGAATTTTCGCACTGACTTAACTGCTTAAGATGAAATGTCTTCTATCTCACAAGTATAATATCTCAACAAATTCATTCACTAACATTTTACAACCCTAATAAAAAAAAAACACTACAACATTATCACTAGTAAGAACATTTACTGTATAATTCTCAATCTATTCACTATCCTTTTTTTTGCTGCTTTTTTTCCTTATTTCCTCTTCAATATACCATCTATCTATACACTTATTCTGCCTCTTGTCGACTCTCGGCATTCCTGAACATCGGAATGGAGGCGCAAAGAGGTGAGATTGATAAAATTACACAATGCAACTATGTATATTCACAATTTTTATTACCTACAATTTTTTTGACCTCATGACGCAATTGAATATATGGTTTGAGTTTCATGAACTGCACCACACTTGGAACTCTTGTTCTGCAATTGATTTCCCACCCCTTCAATGGAGGGTGGATAAGAATAAATTAAAATCGTTCAACATTGCTTTCTATACATAATGTCTTGCAATACATCATTCACGTGGTCATGTCTTTGAGAAACTGGCCTTTTAGCGACAACACAACAAATTGTACAGAAAATTAGAGTCATGGTAATTGAGTTTCGTCAATGCTAAAGTTAGCCCTTAGTCACTATACTGGCCCTCAGCAGATCCACTGGGCGTCTCGACTGGGTGTTGATTGGGGGAAAATCGCGGGAAATTTTCAGGCATGTTAATTTGCGCTCTTATTGAAGCCTAATTGGGTGCAAATATCTTGGCGAACTCGAAAGTTTGCCCTCTGAAAATGTAGTCAAAATGCAAACTGATTGCGCGATATGATTTTCCCACAAATGCGGTGAGATTCCAACAGGTTTTTCCCCACCTCAGAGCCACACACAAATCTTTTAATCCACTTTAATTGATTGCTGGCGCACTCATCCCGCGAAGGTGGGATTCGGACAGCTCTTGTGGCGTATTTGTATGCCCCCATGGGGTGAACTTGTCAGTCCAATGAGCATAATTCAATTTGCACGCCAAAATGAAAGCCTGACAATTGATTTTCACCTTGGCAACACACATCACATCCACCCTCTTTCGCGGTGTGTCTTCACCTCAAGGAGTGACATGGGAGTTCGCGCTTTGAGAATGTGTTTTAAGCCATAGTTTCACCGCGCGAGATGCAAAATAGTTTGGCTTTTTTCTTCTGAGCCTGATAAAAAAGAAAGTTTCACACTCTCAGTGATTTATTTTGCGCCGAAGAGTGAGCTCGTCTCTAATCTTGGCGGTATAAAATTGTTAATTGGACGATAAAAGAGAGTTTGACTGTTTTTAAAGTGATTATCGATATGGTCAGACGCGCATTTCCTTATCTTAATTCCAACTCCATGTCAATTGACTCTGGGTGATGAACGATTTCTGCGGGGACTAAGAATAAATGGCCGATGTGACAGCTTTCATTTTCGCGCGCAAAAATGTTTGGTGGAAGATTTGCGAGATTTCGAGAGTAGCTTCAGCCTCCACTTGATGTAGCGTTAAATTGAGGATGGCGAAGACGTCAATGACAGAGTGTCTGGTATGCAAATGGGCAGCGCGGGTGGGTGCGAAAAAGGCGATCACCAAATTGCAGCGCGCTGGGCTCTGAATTTGATGATTTCGCCTCCCACAGGAGTGGCACAATGAAATCCACTCCAAGTGCATTCATCCCACGATTCATCAGCAATCATCTCTTCACTCAATTTCACGAGCGCGCGATGTTCGCAACTTGCTTCCACCGCATCTAAGTCAGACGTGATATAATTAGATGACTCATATTTTTGATCTGGCTGGTGTGCCCAAAAGGGAAGGAAGAAGTGGAGGAATAGTGCGTTGGTGTATGAGCGCACACGTCAATCATTCATGCCTTTTTCTCTCCTGGCCTCGTCTTCCCGCAGAGCTCTTGAGCATTTGGTGCACACACTGTGACTCCATTTTTTCTCCTTTTGGTACCCTTTCATCTCTTTCGAGGGCACACCATCCAACGCATTTCGGCCCAATCAGTGACATAGTCACTCTGTGATTATCCGCCACGTCTTCCTGCAATTACACCGTCTCAGCGATCGGAAATGGGTGGAGATCGCTGAGACAGATTCCCTTGCAGACTCTCAAAAGCGCGCACTATTGAAGCCACGCGCTTCCCAGTCCCCCAAATCTCCACATTCAGTCGTTAAGGAATGGATTATCATGCGATATTTTGAATTTACGGAATATTCTTGTCGTTCTTGTCAGTCTGCAAACAATTGTCGCATGTGCAATTCAGCGATTTACAAGCTTGAAATCAGTGAAATTTCAGTAAAAGCGAGATTAACTTCACCTGCTGAAGAGCACTCGAAGTGCACATGCGACAATTGCTTCTAAATCTTGCCAGTGCGAGAGAAGCCCAGTGAATCTGTTCGGAGGTGAGAAAGTCGTTGTACTGATTGCGGTCAGTTCTAGGCCCCAGCTAGACTTTCGTGGTGAGATCAAGTGGGGTTGTGCCCTGTGTCTTCATGCGCTTCACCTCGCGCTCGTACTCCGTCTCGTCATCCAGGTCGCTGCCGTTGGCCAGCTTCTTCTCTGACGCGTCCTCGTGCTCCGAGCCCACGTCGCTCACCTCGCTGGACGCTCTCCTGCCGCCGGTGGACGTCGTGCTGCTGCCCGTCTTCATGCTCAGATCAATGGGGTTCTCCTGGATGGTGGTCTCGTTGGCGGCCGACGGCGACCGCGGCGGCGTGAGGGCCACCACATCCTCGGCGTCCACGTCCTCGTCATCGGGCTCGCTCTTCGTGGCGCCATTGCTGGGCGATAGTTGCGACTTGAGCACGGCGTCGAGGTAGAAGCGCTTCGTGAGCTCCTCGGCGGTTTTGCTATTGTGGTTTGGTGTGAAGCGACTGTTGTTGTTCGCGGCCGCGGCGGCGGCGGCTGCGGCGGCCTGCTGGCTCAACAGCTGCTGCTGCTCGGCGGACTTCAGGAGGCCCTGGTGTGGCGGATACAGCGCCGGATGGTAGCCGGGGAAGAGGAGTGGCGACTGAGGCAGGAAGCCGGGCGGCGGCATCATCGGCAGGGACGTGAGTCCGGCGAAGGGCAGCGGCAAGAAGAGCTGCTCCTTGCTCAGCGGCGGCGGGTGGTCGGGAATCTTGCGCAGCAGGGAATTCCGCCGGTCGCCCACCTCAACGCTGCTGTCTGAGTTGTGGCTGTCCGGCGAGCTGACGGACGGCGAGGCGGACGGGTGTTTGCTGTAGTCCTCGATGCCCAGCAGCATCAGCTCCTCCTTCGTGCACGGCGGCCGCTGCAGCGGATAGCCGGGCGGATACGCGGCCGGGTGGCCGAGCATCTGCAGGCCTGGCGGCGGCGTCTTCCTGTTCCCGTGCGCCGCCGCGGCGGCCTGCTGCTGCTCCTGCAGCAGGCAGTGGATCTTGAACCAATTCGAGCGGCGGCCGTAGCGAGAGCCGCTCTTGGACATCCCAACAATCAGACACTTCTTCAGGCGACACGCTTTGCACGCCGTCCGGTTCTTCTTGTTGATCACGCACTCGCCGTTGTTCTTGCACTCCGAGATCGATGACAGGTTGTTGTACGAGCGCCCGAAGAAGGACTGCAAAGACAGAATTAGTCACAATATTTCGCCAATACACAAAAGGGGGAAAAGCGCTCGCGAGCATCCAAAGTGCTGCAGAAAAAGCTCTCCATGTGAAATACAAGTTAATTAACACCGTGATCGCGTCACGCAAATGATTTATTGCATTCCTCGCTCAATTTTCTCCTCGCATGTCGCGATTTCACTGGTGGACCGGGCGGCGCGAGAGAGTGAAACTGATCCCGAAAATGAAAAAAAGACACGAGTGAAGAGCATCAGTGACAATTTAATGTGATCAGTGAACTGAGGAGACGCGATTGTAATCCAATTGGAGGCGGGTTAGACATGAGTTTCCGTTTTCTGCCAGACACGATGGGATGGTGAATTCCTCGCGAGCGAGACTCTCAATTAGGGCTAAAGACGCCGAGTTTAGTGAGACAGTGTCTAAGACATGGGGCGCGGATAAGTTCAGGCATTTTTCATTCCTCGTCGTGTTTGATGTTGGTTTGAAACAAAATCAAAATTCTGCCATTGCGGAATTTATAGGTAAATTGTCATGGAGGCGAAAATGGAGAAAATTGAGGAAAATTGTGCCCAGAATGTGAGACAAGTGTCTGTTGCAAGACATCATTGTTGCTTCTGGCCACTCGGCAATTTCCACAAAGTAAAGCGTTCATTTTCCGCTACCTTGCGTTTTTGATTAAATGTACAAAAATTGTTACACAACTCTGCTTGTTCTCTTTTGCACTCGTGCCTTCTCACAGTGCCCCAGACAATTGTGAATTTCAGTGACTCACGCTTGCACTTGGATTGGGGATTTGAGTATCTGTGTCATGTGTGCTCACCTTGCATCCTTCACACGTGAAAGCGCCGAAGTGGAATCCTGCCGCGGGTTCGCCGCACACCTTGCACGTTTGGTTCATCTGCAAAGACAGAGAGAGAAGAATGGTTGTTATGAGTTCGCTATGACTTGAGAGACATGAGTGAGAAATTATTGTTTTTCCACCAACACATTGACCTCTTTGTTGCCTTTTGGATCATCTCGCGAGGCGTTGGAGGTTTTTTATGACTCCTCGCGAGTTGATTTAAGATCAACAACAAGCAACGCAGAGCGTTTGGCGAGCGGGAGGACGAAAAAAAGGCCCCAAAAGAATTGATTGTTGCCAGACAAAAGTGAAGCGCATTTGCTCCAGCGTCGCAAAGTACAGAAATTATGCTCTCATGTTCGAGGGCAGATCCACTATTTCGCACCGGAATATAATTATCCTCGCGGACCTCATCAAATTAATGCTGCACCATTCGCATGGTGGCTTTCGGACGTGCAAAAGTGTTGAAGAATGGCAATATTGGTGTTGGGGTGTAAAAGAACAATTCCATAATAAACGTATAGAACAATTCGTTTAGGCAAACGCAATATAACTCAACAGTAATCGACATTTATTAGTTGTAATTCATTCCCTTCTCTCACACCACCAGAGAAGCCTCATCTTCTCAGCCTTGGCAACATTTTCAGCATCGCCAATTCTCAACCCGCGAGTCTCTGGGGCTGAAGAGGAGGCGAGAAATTAATATGGCAATTTCTACTGGAACACTTTTTGCACTTAAAGCAAAATCTCAGAAGATAAGACACATTTTGCACTACATTATCTGTGCGTGAAGTGTTGGGAATGTCACACCATCCGAAGAGGCGGTTTATCGAATGTCAGTTGATTTAAATAATTTAGCTGTTTCGCGCAGCATTAATCGATGGTGCATGGACAATTTGTAAGGCAGTCAGGAATCTTCAATTCGGCAATTTCTCTTCTAAATTCGAAGTCAAACAGCCCAAAATATTATACTTCTTTTGGGACGATCAGAGAGTGGATATTTTGTGGTTGAAAAATGACATGTCCTCTGTGTTATTCAAATTCAAATCTGTTTCAGTTGAATAGACTTATCTTAAGACGATTCAACTTGTTGAAAATTCACCTCTTGTCCAATTCGGCAGATCGATATATTATTGGGTTTGGAGGATTTTCTTCAACATCTTTCCAAAATTCATTCGGCACAATCAAACACGAAAATCCAATAGAATAAATAAGAAAATGTCCGTGTAGAATTGACCAATAATATGTATCTCATGGATGGTTTTTCAGAGCTGCCCATAAAGCTCACCAGTATTTCATAATAATCTCCAAGATTATAATGTGCTATAATGATAGAGTCTAAATATTTAATAGCCGCTTAGATACATAAATACACTTGGCCATTTGCATATTCATTAATGAATTCTCAGCTTCATTTGCATAATAATATTTAACTGTGTTTCCGACTGCATAAAATCACACTTCATGCCACTTTTCTTGGTCATCGCACAAGAAGAAAGTCCCTCCGGATCGTCCAGAATTCTCGCACTGAAGTGATTCTAGGCAATAGCGAGAGGAAAAGCACACACACACACACAAATTGCCAGTAAGTGATCTTAGAAGGGGGAGAAGAAAAAAAAACTGTCATGTATGGCGGAGAACGTGAAAAACGCGATCATGCAAGATTAGTATAATTTTTGCCTTATTTCGATTACTATTTTTCCATCCATTTCATTATACCGGATATATTAGAGTGATGTCACCATCGCTGTCCTTGTGTTTCCTAACCACACCGCGAGCAACGTGTGCACGCTTCAGAGATTCGCGTCGTCTTGACGGGCCCTGTGCGCGATATTTCATACAGCCCATCCGATTTAAGCTGAGCCTCCGAGCATGGGCAAGTGCATGAGTCTGGAAAATGTCTGTGGAAATCCACATGACGTTGAGCAATTGCCTTTTCCATGCGGCATCGCATGAGAAGTGCCAGTGAATTAGGGTCAAGCGGGAAAATTCTGCGCTCAATGGGAGGAAGTTCACGTGATCTGTGGTCGATTGGGCAGCGCGATCGCGACATGGAAATAACTCTGATGGCTGGGATCAGACGTATGTGTATTTCTTCATGCAAAATCACCTCAAATTTGAAGTGATCTTGCAGAAGATCACACACGATCATTGCTAGTGCGGATTGCGTGCAATATTTGCGACGATCATCTCTCGAATTACACGAAATTGTGAAAACAATTCCAAAAGCGATTTGATTCGTCCTATTTCAAAATTTCACGATCGCGCGATCTCTGCCGCGACGACGATGATTAAGGTTGAGGCGAATGTGCATATGGAAATCCTTCGGATAAGTCGCAGGAGAGTGCGCCAAAGAAGATCACTCGGGCAAGAGTCATCAATTTAATATAAGTTGGCAAAACATCTGAGAAACTCCCGTGGCTATGGCATGATCGAGTGCCTTTAATTTGTTCAATATCACAAATGGCAGAGTGGCATAAATTTATTGTCTGGCTGCATCTTCATGGAGTTATTCCCGTGATCTCATATACGTATTAATTGGTACTATCGCATATATCACTCATGCGAGTCACACATCAGCTGCAATGCTAAATTATTAACGAGTTCTTTCACAACCAGACACTTTTCATCCCATCGCGCGCCTTTTTATGCACATCTTGTCATTGTCTTCGTTCCAATTTTGTCTGAATTTCCATCTGAAGTGTGCAATTTTGCACACATCCAGCAAACAAGAATGTTACTTTGTGGCTGAAAATTATGGTATCAAGATCAAATGAGGGAGAGAAAATTTCATTAACCCTTAAGCAACTCTTCCAAAAAGACACGCAATTTTTACAAAATTTCTCTTTACAATATTTTGTAGGGCGGAAGAATCCGAATATGCCAAGTATTTGTGGAGTGAAAGATGAAGTTTTTCAATGTGACAACGCTGAAGGGTTAAATGATAGTTGGGAGGTTTTGAAATTATTAACTTCAACAATTTATAAGTAGCCTTGTTGGCGTCTCTCTCTCACCACTTTCCGTTGCCTTTTAATGCTCAACACTTTCAGGTATAGCACTGAAACGATCAACAGATACTTAAACAAGTTGATCGCGCATAAATATGATATTTTAAGTATCGAATTACTAGGCGCACCGATCCTTAATTGATAATAAATAACTAATTTTGACGTGAGATCACATCAAAATGGTGGAGAATATTCAATTTAATCTCATAGTGGAAGTGCTTAAGTGTTGATGCCGTGACAAGAGTGGCCAGAGCTATATTATGCCCAGCTTCAGCTTCATGCCTGTGCACACAATCATGGCAATTTTATTGGGAGTATTGAGGAGATCCCGTGTTTTCATTCGCGGCAATTAGAGAATAATTAAAGTGGTTATATCGGCGCTTTTTCACATGCGGCGACATTCGGAGCACACGATCGCGATGTGAGTCTCAAGATCACACTTTGCAATCGCCGAGGGATGAGGAGCAAGTGCGCTCTCTGTGGCAATATGCACACCCCTCGACACCTTCAATGTCGCTCGCGGTGTGGCTTTTCTTGGCAAATACAGCGTGGAAATTTGTCAAAGAGCCCAGGTAATCTGTGGCGCGGAAAAATTGCACCAATTTCTTGGCTGTTTTCTGTGTCTCTCCGCGAGGCAAATGCCACACGAGACTTCTTGTACCCAAGGTTGAAAAGTGAAACTGTTTTGTGTACCCAATTTCCATGTTATTTGGTTGTTTGTGGCATGAAGTTGGAGGCACAGCGGAGAGAGAGAGACAAGAAAAACGCCACACAACAATGAGACGTGTGTTGGGTGTTTTATTGTGTCTCTCGCCATGGCGTGACAAAGTTGCCAAGAAGTTTATGTGTGTTTTGAGGCACCCGAACAAGACAAGTCAAATTGTTGCCAAAGTTGCCAAGGAGGCAAGCACACAATCGCGAGGAAGGGTATAATTTAGGTGAGACCTGCAAATCAAGTCATCCGAAGCGCGATCACAGGTTGACAAATTAATGCCCCCCTTTTGTGTTTGCAGTTCCAGCTGTTGTGTGGCTCCTTCTGCGCCCGCAATATTGCATGAGGAAAGAGTGGAAATGGCAGAAATTCCATCCCGCAATTGCTGGATGGCATCAAGACCACAAAGTATTGTTCACATGACCTACAAATCATCCCCCGCGCACGTGAAGACACCGAGGGAGCTTTTCGCAACACCCAGTATCGACACAATTGATTGACTGTTGCGTTAATGATTTTATGTTTCCTGTTTCCACTGGCCAACATTAGACAATCCACTCTCGATCTCTGTGTTTTTCCCCCATTTTTCGAATTCTCCTCAGCAGAATAAGCACGATCTCGAGCGGAGTGTTTTTTTTTGCCAAGGCAGTTGATCATTTTTCTGAGGTGATATTTCACCGAAATACGTGTTTTCGTGCGATCTTCATTAGTTTTCTGGCTCTGATTTCGTATGCTTTTAGCTCTCTTATTGGGAGTAAATATGCAAAAATCGTCCCGTGACTTGACCAAAATTTTTAATAGGATGTCCAACATTTCCCCCACCTCCCAAATGGCCTATAAATAGCTAAACAAGTGATCTTCAGATGATTTATCTCCATATTGTAGAGAAAGAATATTGATTCTGGACTTAAATATTCTCACGATAGTATTTAAGAGGAAAAATTCCAAGTTTCTTCCTCTCTTTCTCTCTCTCGAAACTGATGATCTTGAATCATATGCACTCTGGCGATCACTCATGATCAATATTTATTCGCGATTGTCTCGCGATCTCGCAATCATTGCTCGATTTGAGGATGAATTTAGAAGGCAATAATCTTTTCTGATAAATCTTCCACGCTTTTCACGCGATCTTCAGCCGTTCGATTATCGATCTGGTGATCTTTTCTTGCTGTGCAGTTTCCCCGAGGATTTCCTCGTGCTCCACTTTTGAATGTTTTCACGCACGATGGTGATGAATAATTCTGAGAAATCACAAAATGAATTTCTCACCTCGCGCGATCGATATATTTCACCTGATCGCGCAAATGTGAGAAACATGGTGAATGTTTTGTGGTTTG